CCCAAACCTCAAGCCGTCCAAGGAGCCACCAGCCGCCGTCAACTCGCTGATATTCTCACCAAACCCCGCCGCCCCCGCGTTTACCGATCCATTCTCGAAACGGCCCTCTACCCCGAAGGAACCCCGCCGCCGGAAGTCAGGCTCTGCTGTTCGCGTGAACGGCGAATGCAGCAACTCCAACAAGGCTTCCACGGATGCCGAGGGAAACAGTCGTCCGGGATCTGCCCACAATGAACGGTCGCATTTCGACTCCTCCACTGGCACCGCTCAAATGCCCGTCAAGGTCACCGAGCGACCCATCAGTAAAGACTACCGCTCTTTCGCCGCCAACGTGTTCGGTAGCGTTGCTTTCAAAATGCTGGAATGGCTCACTCCAGCCGGTCTGGACGCCATGTCCCAGAAGGTTGCGGCTCTCGAGGCCGACGCTGCGCCCAGTCCTGGCAGGGAGGAGCTTTTCAGATCTCAAAAGCCGTCGGGACAATCGACACCGATTCAGGCGATATCGCCAGTGATATACGCCGATACGAAGGATCAGAACGACTTGCCGGAGCCAACGGTGGAACAAGGGCCAGACGCTGCCTTAGAGCAGGCCTCCGAGAAGCTCCATGCTTCGAACCCAACCATGCCCAACTCGCGACCAGGCAAACCTAAGAGGAGCTCGAGTGCGAGAGTGCGTGCCAACTCAAAACCGAAAAGGAAACTGTCTATCGAACCATACCCGACGACATCGTATTCGGAGGATGTCACCTCGGGCCTAATGTCTCCCAGGGTAAATGGTAGTCAACATGAGAAGCCGCCTAGGCCGCCAAAAGCATCGCACATCAACCCTTACGCTATCCCGGAGATTCCGTCAACACCATCGTTCTTCGACAACGTCCCATCACAAAACCGACCGGTCATGATTGTTCAGGAACCAGAGTCAATATCTAAACCGGCTTTGACCAACGGAGAGGCTCCCTCTGAGGCACCAAAAGCCGAGTCTGGAAGTCCTCCGCAAACCGAGCCAGTTGGTGCTGAGGCCCCTGCCGACGACTGCAAGAAGATCGAAGAGCCTGTCGAGATGTCGATGGCTGACAGTCTGCTCCCGCAATCCTTGACGTCGTTGAATGTGGAGGTTGTCGACCTGTTATGCGATATTCTGCAAGACGACGGCACCTCAGAATTACACCTTCTGGATCCTGCCAAGATCACCAGCACATACTCTGGACTCAAGGATCGGCCAAAGATGCAAAGGAAACGGACATCTCGGGGTAACTACCCAAAGCGACTGCGGAGGCAGTGGAAGTTATTCATCGAGCAGACCCTGTTCAACATCCTCAGCGACCCGCAAAGCCTCGTCTCATCCTTTGTCAAGGACGATGAACTTCTGGACTCTCACACTATCTGGTACTGCATGTTGCGACTTACCCGTGTCGCTCCCAGTCTAGTCTTCCACAGCTTGTGGCTGGCCGCTGGTAGTCTCTTTGGCGCGCCAAAATCGCTTCAGTCGCTTCGTTCTCCTACCACAAGAGTCTTTCGTCGCGAGCGATCACTTGCCAACGTGGAGGCGGGCCAGCTTTTGTCAATCTGCTTGCATGCTCTGGTTGCGGCAGCTCCGTTGATCACCGATTCAAGGACACTCTTTGATATGTCACGTATCCGGTCCAACGGCCTCACTCTGGCTGGGAGTGGTGCTCTGGCACGACAGCCTGCTTGGCTCTGCCTTCTTTACGATGATGCCTTCTCAAATGACCTTGCTCTGAGGCTAGCAAGACGATTGTTCGCGGCGATCTCCGCTCGCAAATGTTTCGCAGAAATGGTTGCCCAAGATGATGACATTGATGACGATGAGCAGGAGCTGGATGCTCTGCGGCCTCTCCTCACGCAGTTGGATTCTCTCAACGGAGACTTGGCATCGAACCCCGAGTTGGAACAGCTTGAACGAGCTGGACATGAAACCAGGGTCTCTACCCTGCTCTTGGACTGGGCCAAGACCGTGCTGCTCCAGGAGTGGGATGGCAAGCCGGAAATCTCTTGCGATGGCTCCTTTGGCGGAGCCTTGTCGCTCATTGCGGCCATGTGTAAGCGGTGTATGCCCCAGCGACTTGAACATCACAGCTAACTTTTGACAGATCAAAAACGACAGTCCCTTCTAATTGGAGACGCCCACTTTCGAGTGGATTATTTCGCCGATAGGCTGGACTCAATCAACATGCCGGTTGCCTGGCTCTCCCATACATCCCACAGACAAAAGAAGCACCTCTTGGACTTTCCCTTTATCTTCGACCCATCGACGCTTGTTTCTTACTTCCGATCAATTAACTTCTCAAAGATGAGCCGAAGCTACGAAGAATCAAGTTCTCTTCAGACGAGGATGAAGGCGATAGTTGCGCCTGGCGGTCTCATCACCAACCCTCACCATAAATTGGTCTTGCAAGATCTTCTCAAGACGGCGTCTTCAAAGTACCTGATTCTCGAGATCAGCCGAAAGCATGTCATCAGAGACGCATTCGATCAGTTGTGGCAACGCGAGGATCGAGAGCTTCACAGACCATTGAAGATTCATCTTGGTGAGGAAGGTGGTGAGGAAGGCTTTGATTCTGGTGGAGTCCAGCAGGAATTCTTCAGACTTGCAGTAGCCGAGTGTCTCAACCCGGACTACGGCGCCTTCACGGTCGACGAGCGAACGCGTATGGCCTGGTTCGTCCCTGGCTCTATCGTACCTGTCTGGAAGTTCGAGATCCTTGGCCTGCTCATGTCACTGGCCGTATATAACGGCCTGACGCTGCCAATCACGTTTCCCAAGGTTCTTTACCGCAAGCTTCTGGGCGAACCCGTCGACGAGTTGTATCACATCGCGGACGGTTGGCCAGACCTTGCCATGGGCCTTACAACTCTGTTGGAGTGGGACGAAAGCAACGGAGCCGTTGAGGACATCTTCGCACGCACCTACGAGTTCTCGGTGTCCATGTTTGGACAGCCCGTGTCACGAGAGATGGACGCTAAGGCTAGCAGCTGGCCACAGTTTGACGCAACCGCGAGGAAATCACTCACAAGTGAAAACCCAGAGGACGCCCCTCTGGTCACTAACAAAAACAGAAACGCCTACGTGAGCGACTACATCAGATACCTCACAGACGTCTCTGTTCGCCCACAATACAAGGCGTTTGAGCGTGGCTTCCGCGCTTGCCTACACCCGAAGGCACTGCAATTGTTGACACCGTCACTCCTCCAGTCTCTTGTTGAGGGTGTCCAGGAGATCGACGTTAGCGAGCTACGCCGTTACGCTAGATATGTCGGCTGGGACAACAGCCACCGCAGCGTCCGCGACTTTTGGTCGATCGTTAAGCGCTATGATGAGAAGATGAAGAGGAAGCTACTGGAGTTCGTCACGGCATCGGACCGTGTCCCGGTGGGAGGCATGAAGAATTTGCAATTTGTCGTGCAAAGGAACGGCGAGGAAGAGGGCGAGGGCGGACATTTGCCCACAGCGTACACATGTTACGGCACATTATTGCTGCCCGAGTACAAAGACAAGGAGGTCCTGAGAGAGAGGCTTTCGATGGCATTGGAGAATGCGCAGGGCTTTGGTTTTGCTTAAAGCGAATAGGAGAGGAGAGTTGTATTTTAGAGAAGCAGTCGTAAAAGCATGGATGAAGGGATGGAGTTTTCTTAGGCTTGATATCCTCGGCGCTCCTAAGTCGATTGAGGCGACGAAATGAAATCTGTATTCAAACCCCATCTACTACTAGGCTGCTTGGGAAGTAGGCGTGGGTTTGGCATCATTCTGATCTCCCTGCACGGAGACCGCCTATTTTTCCTGTGCCTCAGCGGCTACTTTTGCTAGGTATGGTAACATACTCGACCTTGCTGTCGTCGCTGCTGTCGTCGTCGCCGCTCTTTTTATCATCATCATTACTTCTACTACCGTCTTTAACAGAAGCTATCAACTACACAGGACGCAGGAAACATAGCCGCAAACACAGGAGATTAGGTCCTCTCGCTGCACGACAACGTGAATAGCTGAAAAGGCATTTGTTGCCGATAGATCAGGCTGCAGATTACAGCGGGCTTGTACGTGGCCGCTCATATGCATTGCCAAGGGCATTCATCTACCAATAGACAACACTGAGGCGGAGTCAACCACGATGATTGGATATCTTGTCATGAAGACAAGCATCCACTCGTGTGGTAATCGCACAGCCTGATGTGAGATGCTTTCGACGATTTTCCAGTAGTTTTAGTCTCTCGACCTCATCCGGTCCACCCCATACCGAATCTCACTCAACATCTCCCCAGACTCTACTTCTACTTTACTCGCCTTAAAGTCAAGATGACCATGACCAACTGGCACAATTTTGCCTGCCGCCGGTTGGATGCGACGTTCCTTGACGATATCGGAGCGCCGTCATGCTTCAATTGTAGAGAGGTTGCGACAATCCACGAAGCTTCTTCTGGGATTGCTGCAGGTAAACCGCCTGAAACACCGTAACAATTGGGATTCGAGCTTCGTCGTTCCCGTTTACGGAGGGTCTGTTCAGCGACAAAAGGGATGAAACGTTTCTTAGGCTTGATATACTCGGTGCTCCTCAGTCTAAATAAGGATTTGATCTCTGATGTACCAGTTTGTTGTTTTTCGCACCAATACATGAACCTGTCGTTAAGACGGCAGGCATATCGACGTAGCTACTAGTTGGGCAACATTTTCGATACAAGCGACTATGCAGACGAAAGATGCTGGTCACATGAGCCCTTGGTTTTAATTGCGTTGCTTGCTAGGTGGAATCCTCTACCAATGAGCAATGCAGTGGGTTTAGTGAATGATGATTGGATCCTTTGGCTGTAGGTATCCAGACAAACAAGGCATAGCCACGTCGGAGCATGTGTAGCCTCGTCTGACACGAACGTCCACCATCAATATTCTACTCCTGTCCACACCAGCTCTTCTTCTGCCTGTTGATCGACTCTTGACGGTGAAAGAATAGAAGGGCATAGTCTGAGGCCGGACGACACCAGTCGACATGATCAACTGGCACGCTTCAACATGCCGTCGACCAGATGTTCAATTCCTAGACGATCTAGAAGCTCCAACGTGCTTCAACTGCGGAGAAATTGGAATGATCGATGAAAACGAGACGTTGGAGAACACCGTCGGAAACGCTCTCGAGACATCATCACGAGCCGAATTCAGCCTCTGTTGGCCATCATCCCTCCCGTATGTGCAGGAAACGTCCGCAACAGGCGGCTTGACGGAGACGGCCCCCATCCCTAATGACAACGTTGGGAAGCAAGCAGGCGAGAGGACGAAACTGCTGAATATAAACGACGGTGTGCCTAAAGAGACGCAGATGTCCTTATACGAGCCTCTGTCTGCGCGCAGAATCCGCTTGCTCAGCCTGCTCCCTGGCTCCTACCATGATCCGCTTCGTTGCGAGCTACGCACCGTCGATTTGCAGTTCAAACCGGAATACGAGGCGGTCTCATACACGTGGGCTGGCGAAAATGGAGACGCATCTAGGTCAAAGAGATTATACGTGGGAAAACGGTATGACATTCTCGCCATCACGAACAACTGTGCCAACGCCCTTCGACGGCTTCGTTACGTTCACCACAGCAGAGACCTTTGGCTAGATGCTGTCTGTATCAACCAAGACAACAACAACGAGAGATCTCATCAGGTCGGCATCATGCGAAACATTTATGCAATGGCCAAGAGGGTTCTCATTTATCTCGGTGAAGATCCAACAGATCCCGAGCCACAGGTTACCGCTCCGTGGACATACGCAGCGAAAGGAAACAGCATCGAGCTAAGGGAAGATATGACAAAACTGTCCTACTTCACCAGAATGTGGGTCGTACAAGAAGTTGCCTCTGCCCGATGCGCATGGGTTCTCTACGGATCGAGAGGGGCCAAGTGGGAAGACTTTGTCAGACCTCCACATTACTTCAATAACTCTGCATTGGTACCAGTACATTGCAACTACGAGCTATTGGCAAGCTCTCATCCTTGGCTTCAACTTGCGGTCCAGCCCAAAGTCAGAGGGGTTCATGAGCTTTACGAGCTCATGATCAAAACAACAAGCTGCCAGGCGACAGATTCTAGGGACAAGGTCTTCGCTTTACTCGGTCTTTTGACTGGGACGCGGGAGCCTGGGCTGGTTCCCGACTACTCTTTGAGTCGTGGCCAAGTTTTCGCCGGTCTCACAGCCTTCATCCTCAAGGAAAATACCGAGAGTCTGTGGCGTATTTTCGCAATGTGCGAGCCAGCCTCTTTGCAGGAAGCTCCCTCATGGACAATAGATTGGGCGACATCACCTCGGCCACCCATCCTTGAACTGACAACTTCTAGAGTCTACGTCGACTTGGAAGCCCCCAACCCAAAGCTCCAGGAGTTCGAGCCCCTGGGACGCGATCAAGCTGTCATAGCAATGCCACCCCAAATCAATAACCACGTACGATTCCATCGTGATGGTTGGCTTCTTCTGCAAGGTTTCTCGCCGTATGCCCTGGACGATTGTTACCTGTCGGCGGCGAGCGGCCCTCCCGGGGTGATCAGTGGCGTCCACTTTGCGCCGTTCATTCCGTTAAAAGAAAGAGAGAAACGTTTGGCAGCTTCAAATTGGGCGCAGAAAGGCGATAGGGTCTTCGTCGTTGCCAGCCTCCCCAATCACCTGTTGATCCTTCGACCCATAGCAAACTCAACCAAGTATACCTACGTGGGCATATGTGATCCACCGAAACTCAACTTCGCCAATCACCTAGCCAGCTCCCTAAGCAAGGAATGTATCTTGATGATATCAGCATGGAATATGATAATGTCAAACACGGCCTCAGAACGTTGGCTTGACTCTTGGTTTTGGTTTTCTGTGAAGAATGTCTGCGAGAACATTAAGATACTGCACGCAGCTTATGTAGCCACTGGGGGCTTGGCTGAGTCACCAGGAGACATGGCAATGGAGCCTACAACAACAAGGACAAGTTCAGGGGACAAAGAACTCTACATTTGCCTATCTGACGTCCGTATTGGTAGGTGACTTACTCTTACTGCGGCTATAGTCAGAGATCTCCATGTCATTTTGAAGGCTTACCAAGAATACCAGGTGAGCAGGAGAAGCGAGTGAGGCCTTCGAAGCGCACTGCAACAATTTCTGAAAAAGATGATTGGCAGGTCGACTTGAAACACAATACGTTTCTCGCGTATGCCAGCTGGATCTGGACTCAAGCCCTCCTCTCCAGTGTGACTCTCTTTAACTGGGCACAATTATCTTGGGAATTCTCATTTTTCCGAGAAGATTTGCTCCATTGGATTCGTTCTTCCGTTCCAGCGATGCACAGATTCATGTTGCCCGTGGAGTTTGAGTCATACGATATGCTCCGGTCACTCCTAGGACACAACTTAAAGACATTATCAAAAGGGTATCGAAGTCTTCTGCAAAGATTTAAAATATGGCAACGTGAAGCACGAACAGATGTTGAGCCTACGGGACACGTTCAAATCTCGCAATTCCTGCACGATCAACTTCAGCTTCACCCTGACACTCTCCAAGGCCGTCGACACGATTCTGATGACACCTGGGCAGAGATTTTCTCACGTGTGTGGCCGGTCCTCAGGTCATACACGAGTTTCCAGGAGCGGAACAGACGGGCTATCTCTTCGAAGGAGATGGAAAGCTTAAGGAAGGGCTTGGATGCCATGTTGGGTTACCCCGGAGACGGACTGGACATGGCATGGGACTTGTTGCTTGACGTTGTGCATGGTACAGAGCAGCATCTCCTTCCGCTCGAGGAGCTATTCACAATCTCTCCTCTCAGGAAGAATGACCCAAAAATATCACAAAGGCATACAGCCATCTCCGAATTTTGGGCATATCCTCCATTTGTAGCCAAGGCGAAATGGGGGGACGTATGCATTGGCTGATAGGCGGATAAGATGATCTTTCAGTGCGTAAATCTATAATGGTGGTCAATTCTTATGTTTTGTATGACATTTGAATAACTACATCCGAGATTGTTCCTGGATGAATCAAATGACGTTCGTAGCATACTTTACCACAGTAACGCCTTTAGCATCGTAGCCAGAGTCCAAGCCCATACCATAACAAGCAACCAACCATCGACTTGACGATCGAGTGAGTTGCTGAACCTCGTTTGACAGGAGCTTGACTACGTGGCTAAATCGTGCAAAGAGTTTTGCTATCCGGGAGGATAATGATAAAGTAGATATAATAGTAATAGCTACGACGACAACGACGACGACGACGACGGCTACACGAGAGTAAAGCAGAGAGGTGTACAATCACAGGGAAAGCAGCCGCTCTGGCACAGGAAACATAGGCTATCTCTTTCACATACCCTAGTCATTGACAGCGGAGTCCATCATTTATAGGTCAAAAGTATATACAGCACGTGTTATAAGATGATACAGCACAAATGTCCAAACATTACTACATTATCCTCATATACTTTTCGTCCCTTCCTCAAGCCATTCCCACACTCTAGCACCCGCAGACGTTGAACTGCGCGACAGAGGGGTCGTGGTCACTAACAAGGTTGTCGTACAACTCCCAGGAGTTGACGTGGATGTGCTCGTAGTGCGTCTGGTTCGCCTTGGAGAGCGCGGGGCTGACGAACATGTGGTCGAGCTGCTGGGCGTTCATGTCGTAGACGTAGGTGTAACGCTCGTTGACGGGGATGCCGACGACCTCGTCGAGGTCGAGCAGGCCGGACTTGGAGGCGAAGGTGGTCAGGGGCTCGACGAAGGTGAACTCGTTGAAGTCGCCGCTGGAGATGATGCGGGCGTTGGGGTCCTCGGCGAGGATCTGGGCGATGAAGGCCTGGGTCTTTGTTAGTCTTGCTTGAAATATCTCTAGGGTGATAAGGAAACATACGCCGGTGACTTCAGCCTGCTCGATGCGCTCGTCGACGCCGCCGTTGTTGGGAGGACGGGGGTCGCCGTGCAGAGAGGAGGATCCGCCCTTGGACGCCCAGTGAACGTTGACGGTGAAGAAGGTCTTGTTCTGGGGACCGTTGATGGCGCGCCACTCAGCGGCGAGGGGCTTGCGGCTCGCGCTCCACGCGCTGCTGGCGGGCTCGATGCGGCCGGGATTGTACTTGAGCGTGGGGCCGGCCAGGACCTCGTTGGCGTCGGTGCTGCCGCCGGCGTTGGGCTTCCACAGCTCGACGACGTCGGGCCTGTAGAGGTAGGCGACGCGGATGTTGCCGCCGGGCTGGCCGCCGTCCTGGCCGTCGACGGGGTCGATAGTGACGAAGTCGTAGACGGTGCCGTTGGTGTGGCTCTCGATGGCGGCGGTCAGGGTAGAGAGGGTGACGTTGGAGGAGACGACACCGTCGTTGGTGGGGCCGGTGTTGTCCTGAATCTCCTGAACGAAGATCAGGTCGGGGGTCTTCATGTAATCGGCGATGTGGGCAGCGATGGAGGGGAGGTGGGCGGAGGTAGGGGCGAGGTTCTCGACGTTGTAGGCGCCGATGGTGATGCCTCTGCAGTCGCCGCTGCTGGTGAGGGTCGTGGCCGGGGCGTTGTTGGCGGCCTCGCTGACGAAGGTGATGGCGGTCAGGGGGAGGATGCGGTAGAAGCCGAAGGCGTAGGTGACAACACCGGTGATCTCGGTGAGCTGGTCGCCCATCTTGGACTCGGGGTTGCTGGTGCCGTCGAGAGGGGAACCGATGACGATGGCCTCGGGGTTGGAGTCCTTGGCAGTCATGGTAATGCCGCCGTGCTCGTTGCGGCCGGTGGCAGGCCAGTCGCCAACAACCCAGGTGTCGCCATACTGGTTGGGGCGGGTGACTGCGACGGGGTTCTTCACGGTCACGAGCTCGCCGCTCAAGCTCTCCCAGAAGTCGAAGCCGTAGGACTTGGGGTCCAGAACAGGGTTCTCGGTGGAGATGTTGGCGACGGCGTTGGGCACGCCGTAGATGTCGCCGCCGTCGAGGCTGGTGTACTGCTCGGTGGGAGGGTTGAGGGTGTCAACGCCGATGACAAGCGGGGTGACCTCGTTGCCCTTGGACACGACGACGACGTTCTTGGGAGAGCTGATCTCGGTCAAGTAGATGTAGTTGGTGGCAGACCTGTCAGGGTTGTGAGCTGAGAACGTGTGAGAGAGCAGCCGCCCAGGCGAGCTACATACCTGTACTCCGCCACCTTGCCGTCCAGAGTAACAATATCACCAACCGTGAGGTTGGTTCCGACAGAGCTGCCGTAGACGTAGACGGCCTCGGAAGTGGCATCGTCGTCGTCAGGCTCGGTAGAACGGATCCAGATGCCGCTGGGACCCTTGGCAAGCACCAAACCGGTGACGTTGGTCACGGTCTGGTCCTTGTACGGGGACAGGAACTTGTTGCCGTTGATCTCGGCAATGGTGAGTGCCGAGACGGCGCCAGCGGCGGAGAGGAAGAGAGAAGGAATCTTCATCTTGAAAGACACGAGGCGCGGCGCGTCACGAGTCAAAAAAGTCCCAATTGAAGGCGCGCAGAGGCGTGTGAGAATGCGGTCACAAGGCTCTTCCTCTGGATCGGCGTCCCAAGCAGAGAGAAAAGATCATCGCAGCGGTTGCCCGTCGGGGTCCCGATCCTTATGTACAGCGATCGAGCTCGACTTCTTGGCACTCTGCCGCATCTGCCCCTCGTGTCCCCCCTGGGCGAGGTCGTATCGAAGGCGCGAATGGAGTCGTGCATCGCTGGGTCCCACGGCGCACCCGCCCTTGCATCGCGGAAGCTGCCTCCTTTGCATGTGAGTCTGGCGTCTTGGCGGATGCCATTCTTTGGTGCTCTGTGGATTATCGATGACGACTCAACGGCCAGCTCCGATATTGCTGGTCTCGAGAGACACTCTGACTGGACGGGAGCATCACAGGCATTGTCTATCATGGCAGGGGGCGTATCAATTGGCCTCTTAGAGCTGGCGGTGCCTGGCACGTTTTCGCGGCATTCTCTCAGCCGTTCAGGAGCAAGGGCGTTGCTCGATCGGGAAGGTGAAGGGTCGCTGCGAGCGCGGGAGAGTCGCCTAGCTGGTGTCTAGCTCCAGTGGGGAAATATTAAGTCTAAGAAGAAGGGTGTGGGGGAAAGGAAATAACGTCCAAGGCGAAGAGAAGCATTTGCTTTTGAGGGTGGCAGGGCAATATACAACTGCTGCCCGGCGACTCCATCTGAGATCCGAGTAGCTGCTGGACCCGGCCTATGAGAAGACAGGCAATGAGTCGCCAATTCAACGACACGCCGGGCCAATTCCCTGGCTAGGAACCCAAGGTCGAGTGGACGCGTGGTGAGTTGCTCTTGTTGGCCGGGAGTGGTGGGAAGATGTTGCTGTCGCGGTGGAGGTGCGGAGGAGATGGCAGGAGATGGCCGGAGCAAAGACCAGCTTTCGCAGGGGTGCAATTGATTGAGTTCTGGCGCTAATCTGTGCCTTATCG